GAGTGAATGAATAGTGGCATTGTAAAGCGCTTTGGGTGCCTTGAAAAGCGCTATATAAATCCAATCCATTATTTTAATAATGTCAAATAAAAACTATACTAAAACCTAACCTAACCAATATACTGATTAACTCAGCACTTTCCAATGGGATAAAAAAAAGCCAAATCAAACTTATAAGTCTAATTAGAAATTTGTCACACATTAATAGCATATCTGGTAAACGTTACTTGTAAAATAAAATCTTAACTATGAAGGCCTGACACCAAAAACCAACACATGCCAATGATGATGGTTAATATTTTCTTTTGAAACTGAAAATTACAGCAATATTATTGGGCCTAGATATTGAAGGCATATTTTACATACCTGGTTTTGATAATAAGGTTATGCAGTTGCTGTATAATACAAAACACAAATACAAAACTAAAAATAATTACCTCAGTGAATAGGAAGTGTGACTGTTCAGGCTGCTGAGTATGATACACAATGTAGTCTCCCAGTGAACTGTGCATTGCTTCTTTAACAAACTCTTGCATTAAATGCTGTCGTTCCTCATCAGGCAGTTTGGATTTTTCTAAACGAACCACTGAGTCCAGAGTGGCACAGTTGAGCAGAATGTCTTTGGCTTTGTTCAGAGTGACCTGAGCATCAGTCTCAGTACTCTCACTCTCTGTTACTTGCATGACCACAGAGGAACACGTGTCTGAGTGGTAGCCGATGAACACATCACTTGGATCATATTTCTTTTCTGAGGAGTAACTACTTAAGGAGACAAAATCATTAACCCATGCCTCCAGCTGTCTGGCAATAACCTTCTGTTCCTCTGTGAGGACAGTGTTGATGTCAAGGTAGTGTTTCTCCAACCTGTTAATGAGAGGTATTGGAAACTGCTCATAAACTGCTTCCTTTTCTTCAATGATGATGAGCTTGAAGTTTTGGTGAACTCTGCATTTCACACGATGTGTTCCCAATCCAAGATCAACATACTTTTGACCTCCGAGGGTCACATAGTACTGATTTAGAGCATCATACAGACTTTCATACAGATTTTGAAGGTTGAGAAGCACAACTGTCTGTCCTGTCTCCATGCACACTTTGACACGGTTTATGTTCCTGCAAATCTGTGTGTATTCCTGATCCTTTGGGAAACTTGACCCAAAGATTATCTCTGGGCGGATTTGATGAGAGAAAATTTTCTCCTGTAGAATCTGAAGAGCAGCATAGTTTTTTGTGAGTAGCAAAAGATAACGACTTTCCTCCATTTGGGAAGCTGGGCAGATGTTTTGCTTAACCATATTAATAGTTGTGATACTGGCATTGGAAAGGTAATCTCTGAGTTCTTTGCTGAATATGTCAATTACATCGACATCATCTTTTCCACTGAAGTTTCGCAGGACTGCTCCGGTGATCTGATCTGCAGTAGGAGGTTCATTAGACATTTTGGTAATTGAAAATAACATTTTTATCAGACTGTAGAAATCTCGCAGACCAAAAAATCCTTTGCTTTTATCACATACTGTCATATATGCTTTTGCTAAAGGTTGGAACAGGTGACTGATCTTTTCAAGAACATGTTGCTCAGAGGAACAGATTCCTCTGGCACTTTTGATGAGCTCTTGCTTATTTAAATCTCCACGGGACACAAAAATTCCACGATTCATCTTGGCAGGGTCCAGTGCCCAGTTGGAAATTCCAATGAACCCAACCCTTTTATGAGGTTTTGGCTCATCATCAATACAACCCTCTTCCAGTAATGGGTGCAGTGCTTTCAGTGGCATTTTCGGGGAATCCTCAGCCAATCCAATCTCATCAAGAACAACAACTGAAATATATTCATCCAGGTTTTTGCTTTCTTGAAAGCGAGCACATTGCTTGAATGTATTGATGATTCCTTCAGGAGTTGAATGAGGGCTACACTGGAAAGACACCAGATGTATTTGCTTCAGCTTTTTGTAGAGGTCAGAATGTGATGTAGGACCCTGCATTGCATCTGCAACTAGAGTTTTAGATAGTGATTTGGAGCTTCCTGGTTTTCCAACAATAAACAGGGGAATTCTCAGCTCAATGCAGACCACCATCATGAAAAAGTTTTCTTTCAAAGCCTCATTTCTGGCTATTGTCTCAGCCATGGGTACACCACTGAGCAGGAGGTCCTGCATGAGTTGAATTTCCTGCATTATTCTTTGTGGTTTATACTCATCAGGAAGAATTTGGCTGATAGTTTTCTGATATGTGTTTTTGCTCTCCAAACAGGACTGATAGCACACTCCAGTAGCCATCAAGAGTGACCAGATTACTCTGTCACTAGCAGGTAGTTTGTTTTGTTTTCTCTGTGATTGCTGCTGTAAAAAGGCTTTTAGAGCTTCAGCAAACATTGGCTGATTTTTGTGGAACCACAGAAATACTTGCATGCAACGTTCAACATCTCTCAGACTGACAAAGCTGCATTCATCTTTCCTCTCCCTCATGAACTTTTGCGATGCCGATAACACTTTAATTATTGTTCGGATATTGCTCATGTCAATTGCGCTGGCCTTCACCTGTCTTTGTACTATTTGTTCAATGTACATTTGCTCTGTTGTGTCACTGAGTTGTCCAAAATCCCAAACCAGAGGTATCATACTGGGTGGTAACACATGAACACGATACACAAGCTGGCGGAGAGGGATGGAGCCAAGTCTGTCTTCAGTCTCCTCAGCCCGAACCCGGTAGCCCAGTCCTGATGTTTCCAGCCGCTTGATCATTTGGTCTGTATGTTTTCTGTAAGGGTTGCATGCTGCAATTATCTGTAGGCCTGTATTAGAGCCAAGCTCTTCTCCCTGCACTGAATTATCACAAAGGACCTCCTTGATGCTATTAACAGCTTCTGTGGTGTTTGCTTCATCAAAGAAAAGAACTGAGTCAAGCTCATGATTCTCTTTATTGGTCCTTGCAAGAGTTTCAGCTTCCTTCACTTTCTCATAAATCATTTCTGACGTAGTTCCTCCATGAACTTTGACCAGTTTCATGTTTTCTGCTGGTGCTCCACATCTTCTTAGTTCACACATAAATTTTATGAGCCTTGTTTTGCCACATCCTGTCTCCCCCATTATGATGACAGGAATGCCACACCTGAATCTCATATGAACTGCCATCATTTTGAGGATATTGTCAGTGGTCAGTTCATATGTTACATCGGGATCTGTTGGCCACTTGACGCCAAGAACATTGCACAGATGCTCAATCTTGTCAGCTCTAGGAAGCTGATTAAAGTCTATGTTAAAAGGAACTCTCTGAAGTTTTAAGCCATTGTACAGCCTTTGACTCATGATATTCTTCTTTATCACTTCCTCTGTCAAAGGATTTACTGCATCAACCCCTTTCTGGCCATTGGGCCTAAGGTGAAATCCAATGAATGTCATGGACATGTGGTCATCATTAAAAAAGATGTATGGATGTGGCTCTGATTCCCACCTTTTTCTAATGAGGAATGGAGCTAAGTCTTTTTCTTTTAGTCCATTGATGTCAATGTGTTGCCTCCCTGGGCTCTGGTCAGTGATACATAGTGATGGTGTTGCAAAGTCTTTAGACATCAAGATCATGAACTCAACCACAAAGTTTTTGAATCCACAAAGAGTGTCTCCAACCAACTCAAATTTGCAGAAATCCGAATTCTCACAGTCTTTCAACTGAAGATTAAGAAACCAGACAAAGTTACGTAGCTCTGCCCATGATGGATCAGTTATACCACAATAGCTTAAGAGTATCTGAAGACACTTTGCATGAGTCCCTTCAATGCCTCGGTAAGTAAAGTTGTCAAGACTGCCATTGTTGTGAAAACGTGTGAGGTACTGGTATGGTCTTTGATAAGCTTCACTCCTGAAACATTCTTCATCCATGAGGGGGTCATCACAGGCTATGGTTGGATTTTGTTCTTTCTGCATTTCCAAAGCCAAAACCTCTTTTGGTGGACGGCAAAACGCCTTTGGGAAAACATCCAAGAATCCAAAGTTTTCCTTTTTTACCTGCAAGTATATAAAATAAAGTTTAGAATAAGCAACTATATCATTCTCTCCTCCAATCATATATTCAGCAAATACCTGTTAAGTTAGGGTTTCAATTAATTTTTCCCTAATGTTTTGTAAGTTTGCCCACTAACAAAAACCATAAAATAAGTGCCTGGAGTTCCCTTGGTTTGGAGCTCCATGCAAGATCTCACTTCGTGGACTTTCAATGATAATGATAATGATGTGGAACCAGCCCAGAACTTCTCAGGAGGATCTTGCCAATGATCTCAAGGCAGATGGGACCATAGTCACCAGGAAAAGAGTTGGTAACACACTACGCCATGAAGGACTGAAATCCTGAGGTGCCCACAAGGTCCCCGTGCTCAAGAAACCACATGCAAAGGCTCGTTTGAAGTTTGCTACTGAACATCTCAGTGATTCAGAGGATGGCTGGGTGAAAGTGCTTTTTTTATTTAAAAAAACAAAAAACAAATGCTTTTTTCAGCCAAGGGGATGGGACGACTGCACTACATCAAAGGAAGAATGGATGGGCCCATGTACTATCAAACCTTGGGTGAGAACCTCCTTCCATCAGTCCGGGCATTGAAAATGGCTTGTGGGTGGGTATTACAGCATGACAATGATCAAAAATACATGGCCAAGGCAACAAAGAATTGGCTCAAGAAGAAGCATATTAAGGTCTTGGAGTGACTCTAGACCTTAATTACATCGAAAATCTGTAGAAGAAACTGCGGGTTCGAGTTGCCAAACAACAGTCATGAAGCATTAATGACTTGGTGAGGTTCTGCAAAGTGGAGTGTGACAAAATCCCCCCCGAATTGTGTGCAAAACTTGGCCAACTACAAGACATGTCTGACCTCTGTGATTGCCAAAAAAGGTTTTGCCACCAAGTACTAAAGCACGTTTTGTAAAGGAATCAAATACTTATTTCCTTCAAGAAAATGCTAATTAATTCATAACTCTTTTGACATGCATTTTTCTGGAGTTTGTTGTTATTGTTCTGTCTCTCACTGTTGAAATAAACCTAGAATTGAAATAATAGACTGATGAGGTTATTTTTAGTGGGCAAATGTAATTTTTTCCCAGATGTTGGGGTTTAAAATGATTAAATAAAGTTGTTTTTATTATTTTTATATACACAATGCAATATGCTCAGAAACGAGTTGGCGCTCTGTGTTTTGATGGTCAAAATCCTTGTCCAGTGGTATGTCTGGGCTGAAATACTGAGAATTAATGTAGTAGCGCAGAGGGTCTTTTTTGCTGCATACTTGCACGTCACAGTAGATAATAGAAGGATATTCTCTGGGCCAAAGGGAGTCCCGAACTAGATATATAGGATCAGTAGTAGTAGGGTAATATTAAAATGATCAAGGCTAGGCAGGGGGGTGTTTTTCTTTTCTCAAGCAGATAAAGAGGTCGGGAGTGAGCGGGTGAGTGAAGAGAGGTCAAATAGAGACACCAGCATGGTTCCAGAAAGAAGACAGTCATAATAATATTGTGTTATTGTTGGGGTATAAAAACCTGTACAGCCCAATCCAGGGTATCCTGTGAAGATAGATGGCTGTGTTCACAGAAAGTTTCAGTGCTGTAAACTTGTAATACTAATTGCCGAAGCAAATTAAATCTTTTTAAAAGACAGATATTTCTCCTGTACTTCCTTCTGAAGAAATTGAACCTGACACTGACTGTATGTCATAATTTACCAGTTACAATATTTCCTTCCTGCAGCTGAAACTAAATGCTAAAAGTCTGGCATTATGTACTTGAATATTGTGCTAATTATTTAAAAATCTGCTTTATCAAAATTTTTCATTTAAAAGGACACGATAATAAAATCCCTAAATTAAACCAACAAAATTGTGTAGTAGTATTTCATATGATAAACACTGCTCAAAAAGTAAAATTTCCACATACCAATCTGGTGGTCTGAACATTTGTGGGTTCTAGTAATTCAATGATATACCAGTGGTTCTGGCTGCAGTGCCACATCTGTCCATCTGAATCCATCAGGTACCGCAAAAAGAAAAAGTTGAATATAAATTCATCCAGGCCTTTTTTCACCTGGAAAATCAAAATTAAAATTCTGTTACTGAATAAACAAAATTATGACCAAAATTATTTTATAAGTATATGTGTGCAAATGAATGCAGCTTCACTGTAAATGCATTAGAACAGACATTTTAAGAAATGTGAGTTTGCTAACAGCAAAAGAGGTCAGCTCAAGCCACAAGAGAGAAGACTGATGCAAAATGTAGAATTTTTAACAAGACTTGGAAGAAAGAAAACCTCACTGCCCATTTAGCAGGTAACCTTTGTCAAGGTAGGGTAGCAGCTAAAACAACAACCTACAGCTGCTGCAGGCCTACTTTCCACTGTGCAGGTTTGACAGCTAATGGCTGATATCAGCAAACAACGCAAGTTTTGAGCACACATCGCAGAAACATCTTTGCACCCAGATATTGTGATTCTTCAGAGATCTCTAAACAGCTCTTAACACCGGGAGTTTCCCTGGGAAGACCTGTAGAAGTAGACTGCAGTGGCTTCAGTGGCTAGTCTCTCCACAGAGCTTATCTGCTAGGCATGAGTGGACCATTTAGAACAGGGGTCGGCAACCTTTCTGATGATGAGTGCCATCTAAAATTTCCTCAGAAGTCAATGTGCCATATGATTGCATTAGCAATAAATTTAATAACGCCCTATAATAACAGTTACACACTATATAGAACAACTTTATAGAATTATATTTGTTCGCAGATGTTGGCAGCTATCAGCAAATAGTTATCAGCTATTTCGAAACAAAAAAAAAGACACTTTTTATCCATAACAAGAACTCCATAACAGCAAAGGAACTGTACAACAGAAAATGCAAGTGCTATTTATGGTCTCCTCACAACAATGATAAGAAAAATAAACTGGGCCATTATGGCATGTTTGTTAAAACAGAGATACACATTTTAATGTGATCTCTGGTCTCCGAGTGTCCAGCATTCAGACGGCTACGTGAGGACACTCTTCGTGTGAGAGAAAATCTGCTCACATAGATATGTAGAGCCAAATAATGTCTTCAATGTCGCATTAACTGCCATTAACTCAGCCAGTTAATGCAAGACTGCTCATTAAAACTTTCTGGTTTGATGCTGCGCTGAGCAGGCAGCTCCTGAAGCATTTGAAGTGTCGGAATGTGGAAATTTCAACATCGCTTGAAAAAACTGCCAGCTAGCAACGTCCCTCTCACCGGTAGGCTAAGTTATTTTTAGCCAATTACAAGTTGAATCTGGTAGTTGGGGTTGTTAGCTAAGATACTTTCATTAAGAAGCGGCACAACTAATGTGTCTATGCGAGCTAATTTCTGATGTGCACCGCTGGCCGGCCATTTATTTTTTAATGCACCTTCTCAGATTAATTCACTGCGTGTCGTGCCCAGGGCTGGACTGGGACAAAAAATAGGCCCGGCATTTTGACTAGAGACTGGCCCACCGGGTATTATAGGAAAAGCCATAAAGCCTTTGAATGAAAACAAACACTATTGTGTCAGTGATGTACAGTGGCTTGCAAAAGTATTCGGCCCCCTTGAACTTTTCCACATTTTGTCACATTACAGCCACAAACATGGATCAGTTTTATTGGAATTCCACGTGAAAGACCAAAGTGGTCTACACTTGAGAAGTGGAGCGAAAATCATACATGATTCTAAACATTTTTTACAAATAAATAACTGAAAAGTGGGGTGTGCGTAATTATTCAGCCCCCTTTGGTCTGAGTGCAGTCAGTTGCCCATAGACATTGCCTGATGAGTGCTAATGACTAAAAAGAGTACACCTGTGTGTAATCTAATGTCAGTGCAAATACAGCTGCTCTGTGACGGCCTCAGAGGTTGTCTAAGAGAATATTGGGAGCAAAACACCATGAAGTCCAAAGAACACACCAGACAGGTCAGGAATAAACTTATTGAGAAATTTAAAGCAGACTTAGGCTACAAAAAGATTTCCCAAGCCTTGAACATCCCACGGAGCACTGTTCAAGCAATCATTCAGAAATGGAAGGAGTATGGCACAACTGTAAACCTACCAAGACAAGGCCGTCCACCTAAACTCACAGGCCGAACAAGGAGAGCGCTGATCAGAAATGCAACCAAGAGGCCCATGGTGACTCTGGACGAGCTGCAGAGATCTACAGCTCAGGTGGGGGAATCTGTCCATAGGACAACTATTAGTCGTGCACTGCACAAAGTTGGCCTTTATGGAAGAGTGGCAAGAAGAAAGCCATTGTTAACAGAAAACCATAAGAAGTCCTGTTTGCAGTTTGCCACAAGCCATGTGGGGAACACAGCAAACATGTGGAAGAAGGTGCTCTGGTCAGATGAGACCAAAATGGAACTTTTTGGCCAAAATGCAAAACGCTATGTGTGGCGGAAAACTAACACTGCACATCACTCTGAACACACCATCCCCACTGTCAAATATGGTGGAGGTAGCATCATGCTCTCGGGGTGCTTCTCTTCAGCAGGGACAGGGAAGCTGGTCAGAGTTGATGGGAAGATGGATGAAGCCAAATACAGGGCAATCTTGGAAGAAAACCTCTTGGAGTCTGCAAAAGACTTGAGACTGGGGCGGAGGTTCACCTTCCAGCAGGACAAAGACCCTAAACATAAAGCCAGGGCAACAATGGAATGGTTTCAAACAAAACATATCCATGTGTTAGAATGGCCCAGTCAAAGTCCAGATCTAAATCCAATCGAGAAAGTGGAAAGATCTGAAAACTGCTGTTCACAAACGCTGTCCATCTAATCTGACTGAGCTGGAGCTGTTTTGCAAAGAAGAATGGGCAAGGATTTCAGTCTCTAGATGTGCAAAGCTGGTAGAGACATACCCTAAAAGACTGGCAGCTGTAATTGCAGCAAAAGGTGGTTCTACAAAGTATTGACTCAGGGGGCTGAATAGTTATGCACACCCCACTTTTCAGTTATTTATTTGTAAAAAATGTTTGGTATCATGTATGATTTTTGTTCCACTTCTCACATGTACACCACTTTGTATTGGTCTTTCACGTGGAATTCCAATAAAACTGATTCATGTTTGTGGCTGTAATGTGACAAAATGTGGAAAAGTTCAAGGGGGCTGAATACTTTTGCAAGCCACTGTACACTGTCTTGTTGGTATACGTATGATTTCTATACATTTTACATCAGTAAAAAACTTTGGTTGTAAGATTCAGATAATTATTTAATAAAAGCTAGACATTTTAAATAAGAATAAGAATAAGAAAGAAAAGTATTTCTTTTCAGCATTGTTTTTTTGGGTTTTTTACACCAAGATAGCGCTGAGTATGGCAGCCTCGTCGCGAGCTCCCCCAGCTGGTTTTTGTGTTTAATTTTACTTTATTTTTTCACGAGTAGCACATGTCTCCTTGTGTATGACCAACAAACCTTACTGGTCATAAGAAATTGACTTACTCATCACTTTCTGGAGTTCAAGTTTTGGACCCCCCATTCATCTCACCTGAGACACCTTTTGTTCTGGGCTCCTGGAGAGCCGACGCAGAGGGAGAAAATCCGGCGTTCTGGTTCGACTAAGACGGCACACTAACAGACAACTGCTACCCAGTTTATTACTTGCTAATGTGCAGTCTCTGGAGAACAAACTGTGCGAGCTCGGGGCACGGCTCTCATTCCAGTGAGAGATGCGGGACTGCTGCGTGATCTGCCTCACAGAAACCTGCTTATTGGACAAGGTACCAGACTCCGCCATACAACTACCGGGGTTCTCCATGCACTGCGCGGACAGGTCACAGGAGCTAACTGGGAAAAGCAGAGGCTGTGGTGTGTGTTTCATGATCAACAACAGCTGGTGTGATTATGCAAACGTGGACCCGGTCAAATCCTTCTGCTCACCAGACCTAGAGTACCTGATGATTAAGTGCCGACCATTCTGGCTATCAAGGGAATTTACAGCAGTGATCATTATGGCTGTTAACATTCCCCCACAATCCGACACTGACCGAGCACTCAGGGAACTGTACAACGCAATCAGCAGCACGGAAACCGCGCACCCAGAGGCGGCATTTATCATGACCGGGAACTTTAACAAACGAAACCTGAAGAAAGTTTCACCAAAACTCCACCAACACATTCATTTCAACATTCATGGAGACCAGCTACTTGACCACTGTTACACCTCCTTCTGGGATGCGTACAAAGCCCTACCCCATGCCCCATTCGGCCAATCAGATCATCGCTCCATCCTGCTCCTGCGCAGCTACAGGCACAAGCAGAAACAGGAAGCTCCAACCATGAATGCAGTGGACCGCTGGTCGGACCAATCAGAGTCCATGCTGCGGGACTGTTTTGATCACAAGGACTGGGAAATGATTTGCATGGCTGCTGACGACATTGATGAGTACACAGATTCAGTCTGCAGATTTATTAGAAAATGCGTAGAAGATGTCGTCCCATCCAGAATAGTCAAATCCTACCCAAATCAAAAACCGTGGATTAACAGCAATGTTCGCACGGCACTGGCAGCACAGAGCACTACTTTGGGCTCCGCGAACACATTTGACTACAAACACGCACATTACCAACTCTGGAAGATGATCAAAGCAGCCAAACATAAGTACAGGGACAGAGTGGAACAACAATTTGACAACCCAGTATGTGGCAGGGACTAAACACAATCGCAGACTTTAGAGGGAAAATTAGCACACCACAGACCACAGCCTCTCTGTGCGAGGATCTAAACGTATTCTACACTAGATTCGACACAGCGAACATCACGAGACCAGACAGTGTGACGCACCGCGGATGACGTCAGTGTGCAAACAGTGTCTGAGGAGGATGTGCGGAAATGCTTCAGGAAGGTGAATGCATGCAGAGCTAATGGTCCGAACAGGATCCCTGGCCGCATCCTCAAGTCATGCAAGGCTCAGCTGGCTGGAGTGTTTACGCACATCTTCAACCTTTCTCTCTCTCTGTCTGTAGCCTGCTTCAAAATGGCCACCATCGTCCCTGTACCCAAATCCTCCACCATCTCATCACTGAATGACTAGCGACTGGTAGCCCTGACCCCCATCGTGAGCAAATGCTTCGAGAGGCTGGTCAGGGACTTCATCTGCTCTGCACTACCTGACTCACTGGACCCTCTACAATTCGCATACCGCCACAACAGGTCCACTGATGACGCCATAGACCTGACACTACATACTGCCCTCTCCCACCTGGAGAAGAGAGACACATATGTGAGAATGCTGTTTGTAGACTACAGCTTAGCATTCGATACCATCATTCCCTCGAAGCTGGACAGGAAACTGCAGGATCTAGGATTAAGCAGCTCTCTCCTTAACTTCCTGTCTGACAGATACCATGGTCAGTCTGGGCAGCATCACCTTATCCCCCGTCATAATAAACACTGATGCTCCACAGGGGTGTGTACTGAACACTCTCCTGTACTCACTCTACACCTACGACTGCACGGCCACTAGCAACTCCAACATCATTGTGACAACACAGCTTACAGGGAGGAGGTCAGCGCCCTGACCCACTGGTGCAGAGAGAACCATCTCACCCTCAACGTCGCAAAGACAAAGGAGTTAGTGGACTTCTGGAGGTGCAGAGAAGCACACACTCCCTTCACCGTCAACGGAGCTGCTGTGGAGAGAGTGAGCAGCTTCCGTTTCCTAGGTGTACATCTGGTGGAGGACCTCACATGGTCAGTACACACAAACAAAACAGTAAAGAAAGCACAGCAGTGCTTCTTCATACCTCCTTCACACCTCTCTGCAACCCCCCGTAGCACCGCGGATATCAGATGAACCTCGCCTGATCCCTTTTTCCTTTTCCTTCAACAACTCTACTGCCTCCTACCCCCATGCCAGTCATCAGGAGCCACTCACCCACACCCTACACTGCAGCCTCTCCATCACAACTGACCAGGTGCGAAGTCGGCTGAGGAAGATGAAAACAAGGAAGGCCACAGGTCCTGATAGAATCAGCTCCAGACTATTGAGGGATTGTGCAGATCAGGCTCAGTCTCTGTCTGTGGAAGATCTCCTTTGTGGTACCGGTCCCAAAGACAACACACCCCAAGGAGCCGTACCACTTCAGACCCCTTGCACTGACTTCACACCTGATGAAGACCATGGAGAGGATCATACTACACCACCTTCGCCTATTAGTCGGGACAGACCTAGACCTGATGCAGTTTGCTTACTAGCCGAACATCGGGGTGGATGACGCTGTCATCTACCTGCTGCATTGGGCCTTCTCTCATCTGGAGGGCACCAAGTGCACTGTGAGAGTCAATGCTTTTTGATTTCTCCAGTGAGGGCAGAGAGGGACAGGGGGAAACTCAAACTGGTCAAGAGGGCCAGCTCTGTCCCTGAGCAGTCCATTGAGCAGGTTGGGGAGGAGAGGATGTTGTCTAAGCTAACAGTTGCTTATGTATATAGGACAACTTTGCGTCTTCACTTTTATATTTTATATTCTCCTTGCTATAAGAGCTGTGTAACACCCAAATTTCTCATCTCTGGGATAATAAAGGTTTATTTTATTCTATTCTATAAGGTATTTTCACCGTGGTTAATAAAAACAGCTTACCGAGGATGTGACATCAAAGTGAAAGACCTTAAGATCTTTTTGTTTTGGTGTGTCATACAAAGACTGGATAATCTTGTGGTCATCAACCTCATGTTCTGTTAGCCTGATGCACTTCTTAAATGCAGTTCCTTGTTCGATATTTCTCTCCAAGTTTTCAAACAACCTTTGGATATACAATGACTTGCCTAAAATGACAAAAAAAAAAAGGCAATCTATTGTTTGACAGAAATGAGTCCATCAGTAAGTCTACAGTATTAAAGATGCATTTCTAGAAATCAAGACAAAATTCAGCATGCTCTTTTCTACAAAAATAAATCTTAAATACTACTATTCAAAAGTTTGGACACACCTTCTCATTTAATGGTTTTTCTTCATTTATACTACTTACTACATTGTAGACACATATTTAAGACATCAAATATATGAAGCAAGATATATAGAATTATGTAGTAAAAAAAACAATGATAAACAAATCTAAATATGTTTTATATTTTAGATTCCTCAAAGAAGCCACCCTTTGCTTTGTTGACAGTGCTGCAAACCCTTGGCCCTCTCTCGATGAGCTTCATGACGTTAAAATGGTTTTACTTCACAGGTGTGCTTTGTCAGGGTTCATTTGTGGAATTTCTTGCATTTTTAATGGGGGTTCTAACAACTGATAGAATGTATATTATGACAAGAACCTATCCAATCAGCTAAGTAAAGAGAAATGACAGTCCATTATTACTTTAAGAACTGGAGGTCAGTCAGTCCGGAAAATTGCAAAAACTCTGAATGTGTCCCCAAGTGCAGTCGCAAAAGCCATCATGATAAAATCAATGGTGAAATCTATATGTAATGTTTTTATCCCATTACTTAGAAATAGTGCAGAAAGAATTTACTCATAAGAAAGTATGTTGCACATGCAAGACTCACCAACTCCTGCACGACTGGAAGAAACAATACCAAAGGAAAAGCCACCTTTGAACATAGCATTCTTGTAGTCTGAGGTAACAGTGTAATGCCTCAACAAATACTGTTGAATCCTTTCCAGTGGCTCTTGTGGCACCAAGTCTGTTTTGTATTGACTGAATGCAGTAGGAATGTAAGTGTGCTCTCCATCAGAGCTGCAAAAGATCACTAGCCTGTAATCCTTTTTATGGGAATGCAGTTTCTGAAAACACTTTTCCATTGCACAGCTAACATCATAGGAAAGCTGGTCTGCCCACAGCATTGTGTAAATCTTCTGGCCAGTGTCACCTGGTGTGAGGCATCTTCTTAGGAAAAGCTCTACTTGTTCATGAGATGTTGAAGGGGTACACAAGAGCACTTCATCATAAGTTGGTAATGGCTCGTAGTCGTTGTTCATGTACAAGCAGATACTTGAAGTCAGGATCTCATCATGTTGGCAGATAATGAGATTAGGTTGTTTTGACTTTAGGCCTTTTGGAAACTCCCTTCTGAGTGAATGGTCTTTCGTCTCTGAGAGTACCGGTTCATCTTCCAACTCATTCTGATTTTGGTTTTCTGTCATCAACTGCAAGAGACATCCTAAACTCCTAATGTCTAATAGGTCATGGAAAAATATTTCCTTGTTCTTCATGTAGCCATTCCACAACTCCTCCAGTTCTTTCAAACCCACAGCCCGGGGTAGCTCATCTGCTGGGTCACTGTCATGTGCAAAATGGCTAACATTGGGTGAAGATAGTTCATTGCATTCTCTATTGCTTATTGCATGAAGTCTACTCCATGTACTCCAGACATCTGATGTTGTGCAGTTTGCTTTGATAAAAGAAAGCATCATCAGTGCTTTGTCTTCGAGTTCTGCATTCATGTTTGTTGGAATCAGAACACTGCACAAGTAGAATATTTGTTCTGCTGTGAAGTAGTTTAAGTAGTAGTGTTTAGATCTCTGTGTGTCCATGAAGTCTTGCCAGTTATCAAGAAACATCTCCATCTTCTTGGATAGAGATGTTAGCTGTTCAACTAAACTTCCATTTACTTGGAAGCTGTGCAGGGTTCTGCAAAACTTTATTCCCATAATGATACATGGGTCACTCTGAGTTTTACAAAAAATCTTAGCTTCCCAACACCTGAAAAGTGGATTCCCTGCAGTGTGAAGGTCTACAAATACTTTTGCAAGTCTTTGGATGCTTTCAAACACCTGAATATGAAGAAGAAATTAGATTACAGGTGATATAAAAAATATAAGTTATTGCTAAACCATCAATGTAGCAAATGATAAAAAAATTTTAAAAAAATCATACCTCAGTGAAGCGCTTCACCTCGCTCTGATTTTGTTGTTTTTTTCCAGACATAAGCATAAGTTTATTTTGCAGCTCTTTCAGGTCCTCATAGGTATATGTCATGTTTGTATGTCCATCCTCAATTTGCAAGGTCAGTGAATTCTCTAAAGTAATCTAAAAAGGGAAGAATAAAAAATTATTACCTCAAATGTGTGTCCTTACACCTCCAAAGTTTATATGGTATTATTGTCAAACGGTCTCTTTAAGAGAATTTGGGTTAAAAGGTAACAGTATCTCAGGAAATAACTGTTCATTCCACATATAAACTTTATTCCTCTGAATCTATTTAACAATAGCTAGTATATGATATTATACCTGCAATTCATTCAAATGTAAGTATTACTTTCATGTCAGCTATTTATTGTACCTTTTTCTGTTGTTGTGCTTTGATGATATATAACCCTCTCTCATTCATGGATGTAGCCAGAGACAGCGATGACAGTTCAACAGATCCATGGCTTTCTCTAACAGTTTTTAACCATTCTAGCTGGCGTGAAGTATCCCGCTGAAACAAAACAATGAAAAAACAAAGAAAAAACAAAACAAATGTTGAAGTTTTTTACCTACTGCAAGTCTTATTCACCTGATCACACACATTCCTACAGCACTTTTATGCCTAAACACTTTCTAACATTTACACAAACACTCACACCCCAATGAATTTGTTGGGGACAACTAAGACATGGTATAAGTGGTCAGTTTATCCCTTCTACTACATCCCCATGCTACAGTATTGTTTGGCAGGTGAAAGAACTTCTTTCTAATGCTGCCCCCACCATCTGGACCCTGACCAGAAAATGGGTGTATGGAAATGGTTTTATCGTACTAGTGACATTAGTTATATTCTTGTGCAGTGGAAGGAATCTCACCAGTTTCTCTGGTATCTTTCTGTCATTATCAAATGCATTCCATAACTTTGACAATGCATCTTTGAATTTCTCAAAATCAGAGTCCTGTTTCAGATCATAGAGCATGGGTGAGTAACCAAGGACAGCATCATGGAAACAGGCTACTCGATCGACATCCATGTCATTTTCTCCAGCAGAGATCGATGCCAGGTCAACAAAAACTTTCAGCTCGCTGATTTCTGAAAATAGAAATTTCCTTTAGCTGTTATGAGAGTGTGTTTAATTTTTGGTTGCAAGGAATGGCATACTGTACCTTCAAGCTCTTTTTTAACCCACTGGACAAACTCTTTACTCTCACTGAGTGCCTTAAGACATTCCTTGCGGTCATTTGTGATGCCTTTCATATTATTTTTTGCTTCTATGAAGGCCTCATCAATGCAATTCAGGTTGTTTCTTTCTTCTGTCTTTCTTGAGTCTTCTTTCTAAAAATATTCATTTACAGTTAAAGAAAAAATTACAGTTACTAATACAGAATCTAAGTATCAAGCATTTAAAGATAATTTTCAGGTAACCAATTGAATTATCATTTCATTAATAATTGACAGCACAAAACTCTAGAATATATTTTCCACAGCTGACCATGACTGTGCATTCTTCTAGAACTTTTTCTTTCTTTTAAAGGACATAAACACAGATCAAGTCTTCTTACATAGTGATAAATTATTAGAAAACATACCATTTGAAGAATTTTCTCCAGTACATTGAAATGACCTCTTGGACATATTATGTTTTTGATATCCATGATGATTGTGGAAGAGTCCACTGCTAGATGAACATCGTGGTATTGCTGAATTTGGCCAACCCTTCCTTTGATCCATTTTCTGTCATCAGATAGGTCTACTCTGCACATAATGTCTAAGTCTTTCTGCAAATCTTCATACCTTCCTTTATAGTCTTCAAAGATGCTGTTAATTTCCTGCAGTGGCAGTTCTCCACTCTTTAAACTGTCATAAAGACATCTGTACTTGCTGTAGCAGGTTTGAAATAGTTCATAGTAGACCAGATCAAGAGTATAGATTTTTTCATCAACGTCAGTATTTTCAATGTCATCTTCATGAGGCTGCTCTCTTGAAAGGTCCTCCAGCTTGTTTGCCCAAAACCTTTTGAAGATTGAACTGTCTTTAATAGCATGCAGCTCTGAAGCCATTTGATGTGTTATTTCAGAGAGGCTGAAATAAGTAACCTTTGCAGTTGTAGGTGAAGTCTGTCCATCAAGAGTGTAAACCTTCATAAATTCATTCAGATTCACTGTTTCGATGTTCTGTTGAAGTTTTTCGTCTAGCCCATTGAAGTCAACTGCAGATTAAAAAGATGTTAGTTATCATCTCAGTACTAATCATATTAACTCAGACACACTTCTGAAATAGAAGTTCTTGGATTCTGAATTTTTTGATAAGTAACTTGATAAAATCGTATTCTTATACCAATTTAACTCATCCTTAACTCAGCACTTTGTGTTTTGCCAACCTTGAATCAGTGAAACTGATCACCTAATATCATTTGATACTGCCTCACATTCATGTTTATAAGGGTGTATGTAATGCAACATAATCTGTAATAGGGAATTTGTATTGCAATGCAAATTCTGTATTACATATTATATTTGTAATATTATTTGGATATATTACACATATATCCATCATGTCCATTTTTTCCCATTATTCTACACTGTATTAATTCACTTGTAGCCTCGGGTGAAATTTTAAAGGTTGCAATGTGTAAAATGAATCACAAAATGCTAAATGGATAGGTCATTAGCACTTTTCTACTGTACATTAGCATTAAAACTGTTTTATACAGCATGGCTCATTCATGCAAGCACTTTTTCTATGTTTAAGTACTCACACTTCCACTTCCACTTAGTAAATCAGAGAGCAACTTGGAGTTATTATCTTAGCAGATATTTGGCATTCAGACTGGAGCAGCCAGAGATCAAACCACCAACCTTCCAACTGAATAGATGAGGTGATCTACCTCCTGAGTTACAGCCACCCAGAAGTTATTCATTCCTTGTTTTACTATGTAGTTTGTCTCTTTAGTCTTACTTCTAGTTTGACTTTCTGACAGTAATTTTCCTTGATTGAGTTCAGTTTTGTGTATATCCCTTTTTTTTTTTGCATTTTCTTTATTTCTTTCTGCATTTGTGTCATCAGACAAAACATTACACAACAGTTAGCATTTAATCTATTTGATATTAGAAGGTGGAAAACAGTTAAGGTATCTGATAGAAAAATTAAAGTTATGCAACAAGTTGAGGAAATGTATCTCTCTCTCTCTCTGCCTGTCCCTCACTCCATGTTATTCTAAGCTATCTTTTATTCAAGTACTATTAGCATTCTGTTCCAGCACGCTGTGTAATTAAACTAATTTCTTTTGACACATATATTTTCCCTGAAAAAGTGTGTGATTATGTATATGTATGTAAAAGTATGTGAAATGTATAAAAAGGCCCAACAACATCGCCCTGATGAGCACTCTAATACACTTTTACATTGTATCCTGTCACTCCCTTGCAAGTAAATAAAACACATTAAACTCACTATTCTGAGTGTTTCTTTATTAGAAATTTTTTCTGACAGTATTCTTAAATAAATATTTTCCAACTTTGTTTATTATCAGTTTTTCTATATTTTTTTCCTTTTTTTATCCATATTTGACGATAAGTTCCACCTTTGCAAATGGTTGGTCAGAAGATGCCACCATGTCTCTAAAAGACACACTGTCTTATTAATATGTCTTAATGCGACATCTAGTCTTTGTGGTGTTCTTTGTGTAAGTACCAGAGCATACCAATGAGACATGCATGCCCCCTTACAATTGCTAAGCGATTTGTAAGAACTGGTTTTACAGTGGAAAACTTGCATAAGTCAACTATAAGCATGTCATACGTTTTTAGACTGGACGAATAGCGCATAAAATCATTGATTTAGACTGTAGGAAAAACATGATTTACTGTGCTGCTCACAGGCAATCAGCAGCCACTAGCAACTTGAAAAATGCAGTATTTTGTTAGAAATTACTCAGTGCATAATTTGATATTGTGAATGAATGAGTATAGCACAATAGCTACGACATGACCATTTAGTTTATATTTAGGGCTCTCTTGCATGTTATACTTCAGTGAACTTCAGGGCCACACCCAACAACCTTCACGAGAGGTAAAAACTTGTGACTCTCCACCATTTACTTTTAGAATTAAAGAAGCCTCTTGGATGAGACGTGAAACTTTTCAAAAACCTAAGGTAGTCCAGTTGCCTTTTTTTCAGTTGTAAAAAGTGGCAAAGCATCGATCTAGTGTGCTCTGGTAGCTTTACATTTTATTTTTCCACCATAATTTACCATCCTTAAAAACTCTTAAGCCTTTAAAAGTTCTCTTTACCAATGTTAGCAGTTTTTCACTGGCTGAGATGCTGCAATGTTACCAGTATTTGGTCTAGACTTTAAGAAGACAACTTAAGAATACAACTTCTTAGACAACTTTATCATTCTGGGAATTTTTATAGAAAAATAATGGACAGACTAGAAACAAAAACATTGCTTATACCTTTGAGGTGTTCTGGAAGCGTCTGGCAGATTTGTAGAAGATCTCTGACCAACTCTATCTCATTCTTGACAGCTTGTGATTCCTTTTTTCTTTCTTCAAGTAATGCTGTTATATGTATGTAATCTTTACAACGACCATCATCACAGAGGCCATCTGGGGAAACATAAACAACAATCAGAAATACTACAAAGAACAATTAAAGAGCCTGCATTTTCAGGTCCAGCTGCACAAATGTATTTTTTTCTCTCTTCTCTATTTTTTTTTTTTTTAATGGCACCTTTTATAGGTAACTCATATGTAAGGGCAATTAAAAACTTGTACATCTGACCATTGAAACTGACAACAGCTACATTTGGGTTTTTTTTGCAATTTTAATGTGAATATTTGGGTTGGAAATCAACGCTATAAACAAAACCAGCTGGAAAAAAGATCCAACTTTAATCATTAATTAAGCATTGCAAATTATTGATTTGCTCATGAAGCTAATGTGATGAAGAAAAGACATTACATTTAAAAAGACACCCTTGTAGAGTTCCAGCTTCAGCTTCATGTTTCCTTTGTTAGAAAATAAGAAAAGCCCTACTGATTACTCAACAATTTGTGGGATATCCTAATTAGAAAGACCTTAGCTTTTAAAACTTTACATTTTTAAAATTAAAGAACCAGTAATGCAATTTATTTAGTATTTTAGACTTGCCTCAAAGAAGTCAGTACTGGAGATCACAAAACCAGATATGCATATCACTTGCCTTGAAGCGACTGTTGTTGTGATTTGGCGCTGTATACATGAAATTCATTTGAATTTTGAATCACTAAGTACCACTAAGAGTAGAGAGTTGACCTGCTTTTAAATATTTTTGTACTGCAGTATTGTCATGAACACCTATATTCCATTACTACTGTAAGACTGAAAGCAGAATTTAAAGAATAAACTACACCTAATTTACAAGTAAACAATTTTCATACCTTATAATACTTGTAGAATTTGTAATTTAAATACACCAGCTAAAATGAGTGGACAGACAAAGAAAAACAAATGAGGAATTGAGGACAAATGAGAAATGAAATATTTTTATTCACCTGTCTTGAGCAAATCCACAAATTTCTGTTCCTTCTGAAAAATTAAGTTTAAAGTTTTAATTTGGATATCTCCTCTGAGGAACTGCTCTGACATTGTTTTGAATACTTTAGTTGCCAGAGTAATCCTTTGCTCTGCTTCATCTGAGAGTTTGTTGATCAGTCCCCCTCTCCCTAAACCAGAGTGAGAAGAAAAAAAACAAAACAAAAAAAACAAACAAAAACATCTTGCTATGAGTTTGTACAGGAAAAAAAAATGTTAATCACAAAAAATTCATGTAAAGAGTTAAATAGACAGACTTGAGGTTAGCCCAAAACTCTGTATGAAGGCCCCTTTAAAAGACTAACACTAAATTTATACACAGCTACTGTTTGTCGAAAATGAGTCTTTACCCTAACATTAGACAAAAATAAGTAATATTATACATTACATACTCAAAATACTTTTGTTAATATTGCAGCATTTACCAGGCGTTTCAAAGACAGTTTTGGCAATGGAAGAGTTTAAAAGGTACTGAAATATCAAGTCTTCGTCTTTGATGTAATCTCCGTTGGCATCTGAGGGCCATGATTTTACCACAACAGCAGACATCAGGTTCCCAAACTGTGTGATGTCATATTTTGCCAAGAGAGCTGAAATATCTTTTCCAGATTTATCCTGAGCAAAAAAAATAAGTAACAGGAAAAATTCATCATTGATAGCAATTAATATTTTTGCCCATA